TAATAATAAATGTTTTTTGTTTGTGTGTTTGTAGGTCTGGCACGAGCCAAGTCGGTTCCCACTAAGACATACTCTAATGAGGTGGTGACCTTATGGTACAGACCTCCTGATGTACTACTGGGATCCTCAGAGTACTCCACACAGATCGATATGTGGTGAGTGATGTCACATTTACATTCAGTCCTGTCCTGTATGCTCTGTCTTATCCTCTCTCTGTCTCTTTCTCTGCCTCAGGGGTGTTGGATGTATATTTTATGAAATGGCTGCAGGTCGGCCGCTGTTCCCAGGATCCACCGTTGAAGATGAGCTGCATCTAATCTTCAGGTTACTGGGTGAGCGAACACACACACCCACGCACGCACACACTCACGCCCAGCTCTCCAACTAAATGATTCAATTCAGAGCCTGTGTGATGAAACACACACTTCAACTCCAGACATTACGACATTAAACACACACTCTCACACCAGATGTGTCATGGTGTTCAGTCTCAGAAGTGCTTCTCACCTGCTTTAAAAACAAACTGCAACCATCTGAGCTGCCATGCTTGCTGTCCACACACACACACACACACACAAACACACACACAAACACACGCTTGTGCATGGAAACAGTGAGATCACATGGTAGGTTACCACAGTTCAGTTGAAATCCTGTCCTGCTGACACTCACCTGATGTGTTTAACTGTGCATTCTGGAGTGTGGAAATATCTCAGAAAAAAGACCTGGAAAGGAGGTTTTAAGCTATTTTTAAGCTATATTCAGTTTTTTTAAACTGTAGCCCAAACAGTACTGCATGCTTCTAACAATGCCAAGGTCATGGGTTCGATTCCCAGGGAAAGCATGAACTGATTAAATATAAATATAAATATTCAATGTAGTGCAAGTTGTTTTAAATAAGCATCTGTTAAATGCATAAATGTAAATCATATTTTAAGCAGTTTGTGGGCTTTCCACTGCTTAGAAATAGAGAACTCGAAATAATTTATAAAAAGAGTTGTATTAAGTCGTGGTAAAGTTGTGGAAATCCTTAAGAACATAAACATTTATGGAAATTTCTTTTACATTTTTTCCTCATTATCATAGATTTCTTTTGCTAGAGATTAGCTCTTTTGCAATATCTATACAATTATTTAAAATATTTAACATTAAGTAAATTTAAAATGTAAATTTATACATACTGTACTACACCTCTTCCATGATAAACATGTTTTTAATTCATGAGTTTAAGAAGTTTAGCATGTTATTTTATAATATAATTTAAATATACACAATTACAAAAGAAATTGTACATTTTAGAATTTATATATACTGAAGTAAATACAGAAAGATCATGATCAAAAGGCATCCGCGAATTTAAGTCCAGTAAAATCCTAAATGTATCAGCTCTGTTTAGAAAATGTTAGCTATGTGCTAAACGAAGACAGGCTTTAAAGTATAAAGTGTTGAATGGATGTTTTGGCTTTGTGTGAAACAGGTACACCTACAGAGGACAACTGGCCCGGCATCTCATCCATCGAAGAGTTCAAATCCTACAACTTCCCCAAGTACAAGCCTCAGCCGTTCATCAATCATGCGCCCAGGTACCTGCTCTCTATCTGTGTGTCTCTCCAGCTGCTGCTTTGCTGTTTCATGCAGTGTGTGTTTGTTATGAGTCTGTGTGCTTAGTGTCTGTGCGGTGGCTTCAGTGTGTTTGTCTTGCCACACAGAGCAAATGACCATGACCTCAAAGCCTGTGTGTGTGTGTGCGGGATGCTGCTGTGGGAATGTGTGTGTGTGTGTGTGTCCTGGTGTATGTTAGAAAGCCATGTGCGTGCCAGTAAAGCAGGATGTCCCGTGGAATTTCTGAGGCCGTTTGCTTCCTTCCTTACGTTTGCCAGTCTAATTTGTCAACCTGCCGATGGTCACATCTCTCTCCCTCCCTCCCTTCCCATCTACAGGTTGGATACTGAAGGAATAGAGCTGTTATTGTCCTTTCTAAGGGTAAGAATGTGCCAGAACAATGGATTGTATTAAATACACACACAAACAATTGTAAATGATTTTCCATCTCTTTATCTTAGCACACTTTTATTTTCCATTAACCCTTTTATAGAATTATGATAACTTAAACTACCCTTTATCAATCTAACAAGGCTTTCATCCTTTATTTATTTTTTTCTCCATAGTATGAGTCCAAGAAGAGGATCTCTGCAGATGAATCAATGAAACACTCCTACTTCAAGAGTCTGGGCATGCGTGTGCACGCACTGCCAGAAAGTGAGTGTCTTTATACACACACACACACACACACATCACATAATCGCTCATATGTCCTCATTCTCATGATATGCTGTGCTTATGCAGACATATCCATATTTACACTGAAGGAAGTGCAGCTTCAGAGGGACCCCGGTTACCGGAACTCCTCGTACCCAGAGACAGGTGCGTGTTTGTTTTATACATGTATTTATGTTCAGATACTCTTATAGTAGTCAGTCAGTATGGGTCAGTGTCAGTTGTGTCAGTAGTTTTGGGAACTGACACTAGGTGGCAATGATCGTGTAGACCAATAGCTATTGAACAGGTTGGTTAATGTGATTGTGTTTAGATTTGGGCAATTATTTAAAATGATTAATTATACATTATTTAAAAAAATTGTTTAAGGTTAACTGATACCTGTGACCTCCTGGTGGATTAACAGAAGTGTTATATGCCAACAAAATCATGACAGCATCTTTTAATAGCACTGTCAATGGATTTGTTAATGCATTGTCTCTAAAAAAAATCTATTTAAAAAAAATGAATCAATAAATAAATGTTAAATATTATGTAAAATAAGTGACATTTCTATTTCTTTGATTTATAATATGGTTTATAAATCATATATAATTAATGTTATATTTCAATAAATTAAATATTTAAAAAAATATTATAAAATAGTTTATATTTCATAATATTTAATAAAAATTTCAAAATATTTCAAAAATATTGTTATAAATATATTATTTAAATTTATAACAAAATAAAAATAAATGTCCTAAAATGTAATGCATTTTATATATAATAACATTTTAAATATTTTTAATGATTTTTTTTTACATTATTTTTTAACCTCTAACCCTTTGTGCTCTTATATATTAATGTAATTAGTGTGTAATAACTAAATATATTTTCTAAATTATATATAAAATACTATAAGAATAATGGGACCTTTTTGGATTCATGATGTACTCGTTCATTATATCAGTTTTGTAAATTTAAAAAAAAAGTTACATAGTGTACCTTTTAAAATTAAATTAAAAAAGCATTATTTTTGTTTGCTTGCACACCGTGGTCTGTCCTCTAATAATATAACTAAATTATTTTATAACTAAATATGTATTTGAAATTAATTATATATTTAAAATATTTGAATTATTTTGTAACCTTCCACACTTTGTTCTCTCCCATAGTAATATTACTAATATATTTTATAACTAAAGAAATATTTAAAATTATAACAAAAATATAAATAAAATATTTGCATCATAGCATACTTTTATAACTAAATATATATTTTTAATGAATTATATGTCATTTGTAAAAATGATTTTGTAACCTTGTGCACCGTGTTCTCTCCTCTATATAAAGTGAATTCATTTCTTAACTGAATATTTAAAATTAATCTTTATAAGACATATTTTGTAACCTTGTACACCTTGTTCTCTGCTCCTTTTCACTCTCATCCTTCTGTCTCTCTCCTCACAGGCAACAGCAAGAACAGACGGCAGAGCATGCTGTTTTAAACTGCGTTCCCTCACACTGTTGCCCATCGCTCTCACACAAGCACACAAACACACACACACACACTTGACGGATCAGTTCGACAGCTCTTACTCCGTGACTGTGTTGTATAGACTAACAGACTTAGTCCCCCCTTGCTCACAGAGAGAGGGGTGTTTGTTGCGTGTGCATGCGTGGTATAGGGGATTGGCCGAACCCGCTGTCTCCCCCACCACCCCCCAGTGTCCCGCCATCCAGCATGCAGTCTTGAGCCAGAGCGCCCATCGGCCCCTCGTCTGGATGCTCCTTCCCCTTCCCCTATGTGATGCTTAGGGTGTGCGAGCGTGTGAACGTGTATATATTTATTGACGGAGGGGTTGTTTTGCTGCTAATTGACTACTGTCTCTACGTAACTTCCTCACTCTCGGGGCAACCCTCGTGGACCCATCAGTCCCACGTTTTTGTTTTGTTTTAAAAGAACGATTATAATTCTGTTGAAAGAAAATGTTGGGATCGCAGCTGTCGGTTTGTCATTGTGTTGGTTTTACAGAGGTGGAATGCCTATACGAGTGTTTTGACTTTGCTTTTGGTTTTCTGGCATGGCGATTGCGCTTCAAACCGAGCGACAGACTCAAAACATTCATTCCAAAACCTCCAATTTTAACGTATCATTTCAAGAAAAAAAGTGGATTTGTTCCTCAAAGGCCGCGTCACGTGAACCAGGGACCATCTCGACCAGGTGGACTTGCAAAATGAGGGTGGAAAAAACAAACACTGGACCAGCAGGAACTTTGTGACCTCACCGTTTTGAACTGAGAACCGGACCATCTCTCCTTTTGCATTCATTCAGAGTGATCCTATTGGAACTTAAGTGCTTGTATGCCAGATGTGTTTTTAATTCTTTCTTTGACCTTTAGAGCTCCTGATGCATCATCAAAACCAGTTTCTTCTATTAATAGAGCTCCTCTGTAGCTTACGAGTGTATGCGATGCTTGTAAAAGAGCGAGAAAGTGAGGTTGTATGTGTGAAAATGGAGATCTGTAACTGTACAGAGCCATTTAAAGGCTCCATGCAAGCAATGGCTATGAAGATGAGCTAGTTTCACTAACAGTATTAAGAGATTGTTTTTTTTTTATGTTACATATTGACCCTTCTGTGAATAATGGTATCTTAATGTGGCATGTTGGAGTCCGACTGTCCCACATTTGTGCTTGATTTTATTCAGAAGAGAAAACGATATTGTGTATAAAAGAAAAAAGGTAATAACAACAACAACAAACATTTTTGACAGCAGCGTTGGACCAATGTTTCTTTTTCCGAGCATTTATAAACATGAAGAACGCAGAAGAAATCAAACAGATTTTAGATGACTGTTTTTTGTTTTTTTGAACTGACAGATGTTAATTAATATTGTCAAATCGGAGTCGATTGTTTCTGGAGATGCGTGCGTGCGTGAGTGTGTGCGTGATTGCGTGTGTATACGGGACGCATGGAGTGCGTGGTGTCCTGTAAGCTCCGCCTCCGTGAAGCACTGACGCTCTCAGTCCCAGCTTGTCGGCTGAATTGACCGTTTAACTCTTTGTACTGCAGATATTTATTTCTCTTAATCAGTGAAGTAAACATGGCCTGTTTCATACAGCGAACTCTCTGTCGTCTGTTTTTTATATTTGTGTGTGTGTCTGTCATCTACAAATGCAAGGTGTTCGTTCAGACGCGAGAGCGTTGCGTCGCATTCAACGCTTGTTTTTATTTTAAAAACACAAGGCACATTTTCTTGATTCTTGAAAAGCAAAAAATATAAAATTAATACGAGAATACACTTTTTTTTTAAATCAATTCATTAATGAAAAAAAATCCGAAAGCTATTACAAAGCTTTTCTTTCCAATATTGCAATGGAATTTCGTCTATTACAAAAACGTATTTAAGCAGGAAAATAATACAAATACACAATTCTTACACAAAAAAGGCACAGCCGGTAGTACATTTGAAGCACAGTGCATACAACCCAATATTATACAATACAATACCAGACAAACAACAAACGAACAGAAACCCGGTTCACAGCCTCGGGAAGATTAAAAAGAGACTTAAATGCTAATGAGATTCCTTTAATATGGTTTAAACATTTCTTCTTTTTGAACTGGTCGAGATCTCTCCAGTTGAAGCACCTTAGGAATGGAGAACAGTAGGGAACGCTGAAGTTTTGCTTTAGAAAGTCTACGCTGTTTTAAACGTGTTTACGTCGTCCAGCATCGTTTGTTTCTATCTGAAATTGAGATTATGATAAATAACTTGAATAACTTGCCACTTTCTCCAGGATACTGATTATCTAAGGCTCTGTTTCCAATGACTCACCCATCTTCTCAAAAGAACACTTCATGTTCTTTGGCATTACCTCATCATAATTCCCTATTTTAAGAGCTTGCGGAGGAATTTTGGTGAGCTGTTTGGATTGCAGCCTGAGTTAAAGAAGAAAACACACAGTTTGCTGGTCCAAAATTCAACAGAACTTAAGGGTGCTATAGGTGTAGGTGGCCACAAGAGGGTGAAGTGCAGTCTGGCTCAAAAATGACATGAAGGTCCATAATTCCTTCTTAGTGTGAGAGCAAAGGTATGATTCTGGGGAGGGAATATGTGGAGTGTCCAGAAATCAGGATTTCTGGGCGCTGGAGGAGAGGAGGAGAGAGGAGGAGGAGGAGGATGATGAAGAGGAGTCCAGGTTGGGGAGGGGTACTGGGAGCGGCCCATTCAGCAGGGTCGGGAACTGTGAGAGTCAGAAAGCAAACAGGACATTGAGGTAATGCTACACATACTGAATCACAATGTCTTAATATACTATGTTTACTAACTATACAGCAAATGCCTTATAGTGGGGGGGACATTTCCTGAAAATGATTGTATCAGGAAATGTCATCTAACAGTAAATTAACCGGATCAAATAATAGTTCACACATCTTAATGGTTAAATTTTATCAAGAAATGTCCAGGTATTATTTAATAGGATATCAATTCTATTTTATAAATAATATTTAATAATAATAATTATTATTATTATTATATCTTTGTTTTTGTTGTTGATTTTTTGATACATTTTTGTTAAATGTATTATTATTACCTTTTATTTATTTAATTAATTTAGATTTTGAGGTTAAATACTACCTGCATTTCATTTATTATTATTATTATTTTTACTATTTATTTATTTATTGGTTATATTGTTTATATATTTATTTATTTAGTTTATTTTTGATTTTCAGGTGAAATGGACATGTCTTTATATGTGCTATTATTACTATTAGTAGCAGTATTGTTATTTTAATTATTATATTATGTTTAAACGTTTATTTTATTTTAACCTAATAAAGATACAAACAAATAAATAAATAAGCCTGTAGGACTGATTTTGGTATTGTGATGACATTTTCAGGACATTTTCCCCAGAAATCTTATTCCTGTAATACAGAAATGAATGTTTTATTAAATGATTAAATTATTTACCTTATTCTTTCATTTCTAAAAATACCATAAATTGAATTCAGTACAACAAATGCCACCATAAAGTGTACTTAAAATTGGGCTTCAAAAAAGAACAAAGAAAAATAAAGCCATTTAATTTACTACTTTTGATTTTTGAAAGAATACCTGGGCATTTCTTAACAGTTTCTGTAAATATCTCCATAATACACCTCTGTGAGGAAAAAACAAAACAAAACAAAACACCCTGTCTTTGTGGTTCACAAAACAAACACGCTTGTAGTCCATCACGGTAGCGCTAGGAGAGGAACTTCCTGTCATGTGAGAGCTGACTATACACACAGACACAGAGTCTTTTTCAGTTATCACCCCCTCCCTTTTTTAACAGGAAGCTGTTTTCCCCCCATATCCAATGCAAAGAGGAAACATCTGTAGTTTATTTCCAAACCGTAATACACACACACACCAGTAAATTCATTTTCCGGATTGACTCAAAAACATCTCAAAAGCATCTATTTTTCCTGGTATATGTTTTACAGGTATAGAAAATCAACAAAAAAAAACCCAAAGCAGAATTGCACTGTGAAAGAAAAAAAGCCAGACGTGCCACAAAAGTTTTCCACTGCAGCCAAAAACGGCAGGAACGACAATCATGTGACCAACCAGAAATCTCCCACTACGGCCGCCCAGGGAGGAAGTGAGAGTGGGGGAGTGAGTGTACGTCTGTGTGTGTGTGCGGTAGTAAAAGTGCACATCACGAACTGTCACTATTCCTGTAAAGGCGGAGCCAAGCAGTCGCTTGTGGTTACCTTAATGGTTTCCTGCTGGCTAGCGATGTTTACAGTAAAGACTGGACCCTCCCCTCAAAAAGCGAGATGAGCATAAATATACAGTTTGCGTTCTGTCTTTTTTGTTCGCTCACACACACACACACACCTCCCTACACACTCACTCTCCCCCGGGCCAGAACAGGAAGTATCCACAGGATTTCCCCTCTCGCTCACATGAAAGCTGAAACATGACACCAAACACAAACACGCTCCCAAAACAGACAAGCGAATCAGTTTCTAAAACACTCGAATGTCACTGCGAAAACGCATCCTCACATTCAGATTCCTCTTTTTATAGGTTTGAGAATGTTTTGTGCGTACCTGAAAGAGTGACCCGTGGCCCTGTAGCCTGGCTGGGCTGAGAGGGGCTACGGGACTCAGGCTGCTCCAGAAATGAATGGAGGACAGGAGAGGACTGGGTGTCAACAGCAAACCAGACGGAGTCTGAAGAGAGAGAGAGGAGTAGGGGGGGTATTGTGAAAGGGGGGAACGGGAACATGAGATGTTATTTGCATTAGTCACTGAAGTCATGGATCATGAAATCCCAGTGTCTTTTTGAAACTTTGGAAAGAGTCTGCATGTCCAGACACGTCTTTGCGTCAGTTTGCAGGCGATAGCATGTGAAGCCTGTCATGCACAAGTAGTCTGAGAACCCCTTTAAAAAAATCTTCCCAGATTTTTTCACCTGAACAGGACAAATTTGGAGCGTCAAGGGTATGTAGCACAAATGCAATGCCTGTAAGCAGCAGGACGACTGTCCTGGACATAGTTGACGCTTGTTTTATCTGTCCAAGCGGATGGAGCATTTTGCTCAATCTCGTGTTATGAAATAACTGTCTGTCTGTTGTAGATGTTTCAGTATGTTTAAAGCAACAGTTCACCCCCAATTAAACTTCCGTCATGTGCTCAAACTCATGTCATTCAAAATCTGTTTAACTTGTCTTCTGTGGACAGTTGTCCCAATTTCAATTTTACGAAGGTGACCGGGGACTGTTGAACTCCAAAACAGGGTTGCCAGGTACAAAACCTGCCTAATTGCTACTCAAAACTAGCCCAATTGTGTTCTGGGGGGTAAAATACACTCTTTTTTTTTTTTTGATGGGGCTCCCCTGGTAAAATTAGCATTTTAGGGGCTAAATATCACGTTATTGGGGTCGCTTAAACCCGCGGACATGAAAAACAACCCGCGACAACAATGTTAACGTAGCCCAATTCCGTGGGAAAACCGCGGACTTGGCAACACTGCTCCAAAAAGGCACCATTAAATTAGTCCATACGGCTTGTGCACTATATTTCAAACTTTCTGACGTCATAAAATGGAACTTAGTCAAGTTAGATGCAATATTGAATGTAAATGGGGATGTGATGGATAGACTTATGGTGTGTACACACCGAACACGAAGCGAATATTCTCATCGCGTTATCACTCTAGATTACTCGCGGGATGTTTTTTGTTGTAATCACGTGAATAAAATCATCCCATAATGCTCTTCTCCATTTTCTGATACAACCGGACATGTCAAACTGGACTTGTCAATAAGCTCTTCGCTGATTGTCTTGTTACAACAATGCATCTTGTGAATTTTTCGCTCGCTTGATTGAAATTTTTCAACTTGCGCAGAAGATGCGATTGAAGCATATATTGCGCGTTCGTGGCAATCGCATTGCCCAATTCACATAATTCACGGTGCCCGGTGCAAATTCACGTCTTTGCTTTGACTTTATATGTAATCTACTCGCACGAATAATTAAATTTGCTTTTGGTGTGCACACACCATTACAGTCTTTACAATGACACACAGTCAATGAAGGTCCTAGATTTCGTAATTCTCGCCAAATTTCAAAAGAGTTTTTGTCTGGTGAAAGGTTATTTCAAAAATACGTTTCATCGGCTGGACAGTCAGTATGCTGTTAAATAACAGTAAAAACCATTGTACTTCTATCCCTCACAGCCTCGTTTTCATTCCTGTCAAAAATTAAATATGGCGTTATCCTAACTAAGGTCTATAGGAACAGGCTGATAATTAAGACAGAAAAACGTCCCCTTGAGAACTCGAGCAGCTTAACTTGTATTTTACTAAAGTATACTTCAGTTACTCTAGGCTAGGGTATAATTTTTTAGATATTTCTAACAGTGCATACTTTGTATGCTCAGCTCGCACATGCGCCTTGTATTGTTTTTACACTAATTAGTTTGACCACAAGGTGACAACACTCCATAACCCGTTGTTTACAGTCAAAAAAACAAGTGAATATTACAACAACAAAAAAGTACTGGTGATGGCCACAACAATAAGGGACTTTCACACTGCATAGTTCTAGGAACTCGGAAAAGAAAAGAACACAATGCCGCAGACAACAGGTAAATACCGTTATCGTGGTTTTCCATGTTCGTGGAGTAAATATTTTTAAATGGCTTTTTAAAAATGCTGGGTAGTCAGTGTTTCGTATGCGTTTGGCCTATCAGTGTACACTGCGTCAATTATAGTTCCTATAGAACTGTTTTAGACCCTACTCTATTATAGGAGCTAATTTAGTTCCCCCAAATGGAGTTCCTAGAACTAAATAGGTTCCTAGTTCTTGCAGTGCGAACACGCCAAAAAGCGGGAACTTTCGCCAATAGTTCTAGGAACTATGAAAAGGTTCCTCCGGTGCGAAAGCCCCTATAGACACCTGCGATGACAAATGGGGTTAACAGATATTGGAAACTCTAGTTTAACTGTGTAAAACGTTCGGAGAGAAATAGCGCAAACACTGGACAAGGATGAAACGTCTGTGTTCATGCAATCTATCAAACAGCGTATACATGCGCTTGCGTTTGCATCAAAACTAAGTCATACATGTTTAGAACAACATGAGTGTAAGTAAACGATGACAAAGTTAATTTTTGGGTGACCTGTCCCTTTAAGAGAGAAAGTGGGAGAAAAATCCACACAAGCATGTAGCTTCCCATGGGTCATGGACTTTGGATCACCAGGTTGTGGCTATAGGGCAGCATGTGAAATCAATTTCTCGTTCTCGCTCAGTTTTTCTCTGTCCTGTGTCACTATGCTGTAGTGTGTGAGATTACAGACATATGGCTTTACTTACAGGTCTCTCTTTTCTCTCGGTTATGCCATTCTGTCTGTCTTTTTCCTCTTTCTGTCTCACTCTACCTCTTTTTAAAAACCCGTCTGCCTGCCACGCATTTCTCCCTACACACCCAGTAAAGACCGAAACGTCTCATAGAGTAGCTATATTACCAGTATAGGTGTGTGTCCTGTCTATTTGTTACCTGTTGAACGCTTATAAACAGTGCCGGAGAGGATGTTTTTGTGTTCATTTATAGCTCAGTTCCAAAACCTGAAAGCTTCCTACAACGAAATGAAACCTAATCCGAAAGCTCTACACAGGCAGCAACTAAATACTAGTGCAAAATGTGCTTCTTGCTAAGCTAACAACATGATACGCTGCCATAAAAATTTATAAAAGTACACTGCATTTATATTGTACTATAGCATATTGGAATAAAGTAAATTTTTACTTAGACTAAACTGTTTTTGTTAATACTTTTGTAATAAGTACAATTCTAATGTATGAGAATGATAAAATTAGCCTGGTCAACACTAACATAATCAGACCAATATTACCTATTTGTTAAAAACAAAGCTGCCTTGCCTTCTCACAAATGAATCCAATAGAACTTTACATTAGCATGTTGCTAAGCTAACTACACAATATTCTAATGAGCATAGCATAAAAATATTGTCTAAAATGTCATTTTTTATTTAAATTTGAACAATATTGATCAATAATGTATGATATTATGTTAAATGTAAGCATTTTGACATTTATTTTAGCTTTTGGCTATGCTTAGTTTAGCTGTTCACTGTCAATTAAATACAGCTTTACATTAGCATGTTGCTAAGCTAACTACACTGTATTCTAATACAGTAGTATAAAATTACATATAGCACACAAATGTTGTGTAAAATAGCACATTTTTTCTTTATCAGTAATTTTTGGTATTGAATGAAATGTATTTGACATTTATTTCTCTTTGACTGAGCTTGTCGCTATGCAGTCTGGGGTTATTTGCTATTAGCCAAAAGAAGGCACCATGTATTCTTTCTATATTTTAGAAAAATCCTTTGCTTTGATCATTAGGAAACAGATGTATGCGTGACATAAATATACATGTGAAAATGTAAATGTACATGTGACATAGTTTAATACCTGTGCAGTGAAAAAGGCTGGTGTAAGTGACCCTGAGGGCAGTGCTGGGCTGTTGAGGGCGATGGAGCCCAAGTCACTTCCTGAAAGCAGTATGGAAGGGGCGGAGATTTCCAGCCCTTTGGGTTTCCGAGCTTTGGGAGGCAGTCCGTTGCTACCGGTCCTCCTCTCGGGGGGCGTGGCCCGATTCTGGGCTCGCTCCCTGTGGCCGGATGATAAATTTAGAGGCTGAGCGCTCTGCTCTGATTCGTCTATGCGAGCCTCCGGGCTGCGCTCCGGCCGCAGCGTGTAGACAGGGCTATGAGAAGGGGAGGGACTACAGGATGAACAAGGGGAGGTTTTTGAAGCAAAGAAGACCTCCGCGGATGCAGGTGGCGGCGAGGAAGCCAGGGGAACGACCTTTTCTGATCGATTAGTGACAAAGCGAATCACCGTTTGTCCCTCCTCCCCTCTTTCGCCCCCTCGCTGCTTCTCGACTTTGATTGGACGCAGCAGTGGAGGCGGGCTTTGGAGGGAACTGACTGTAAAGGACGAGTACAGACCAGAGTGGAGATACTCGTTCCTGCAGGTGGGGCTTCTCAGCGATGACAGCGACAGCTTTGGAGACTCCTCCCCCTCGCCGCAATCTGATTCCACCTCCTGCAACATGATGCCCCCTGCGACGTGACCCCTGTCCCGACCGAGCTCCACCACTTGGGGATCCATCTTCAGAATATCAGGGAACGAGACGAACTTGTATACAAACTTCTGGCCAATCACCTTCTTTATGATGTTCTGCAAAAGAAAAAGGATTACAATACACTCAAATGGCAATTCGTAACTATTTTACCCGACAGACATCCTTCCCAGCTTTACTGCATTCGTAAAAAAAAAAAAACTTCCTTTAACCATATTCATGCAGGTTTTGAACAGGAAGTGGTGAAAAGGGAGAGGCCAGAGCATCAGCCATACAAACGCGGCCACATTAAAGAACGCTCCTGAATTCATCGTCTTCCTTTAATTTCCCCTTTTCCCTCTGCACTCTTCATCTCTCGCATGAACAAAAAAGTAATTCCTGAGTGCCCTCCCACAAACTCTGCAAGCATTTCCTGTTCTGTTGTACATTAACGCACAGGCTCATAAACAACAAAGAGCTATCAGCCAGAAAGACTGACACGGGAATGAATTGCAAATAAGCAACATGTTCCAGCATCGACCGTGCTGCTGAACTCTCTGGGACAGAGGTGTCCGCTCAAAGGCAGGCAAATACACCCACTGGTGAACAGAGATTACTAACAGGGTAAACATGGAGTTTATCCGCAAGACCCTGTTTAGGAACATAGATTAGAGTGACCAGAGATAAGTGGGTTAAGGGGGGAATTCTTAAAGGTATAGGTCACCCAAAAATGAAAATTCAGTTCTGTCATTTACACTACCATTCAAATGTTTGGGGTCAGTAACATTATAGTGTCGCTATATCTGAGTTCCATTTGATCAAAATACCGGCTGATCCAGAATAACAGTAATAAAAAACATGAAGTCAAACACTTCCCTTTAAATTGATCTGCTGCATAATCCTTGAACATCACCCAAACCGTTATTATCAGACTTTAATACTGCCAAAATTAGTCCAACATGCACAGACACACATACTTAATCTTTATATACCATGGCCGCCCATGTTGAAGATAAAGACTGATAGATCGTCTAGTTTTTGTGAATGGGTTTCAGAGCACAAAATGGTTAAAAGTGCTCTTTATATTCTGGCGCTGTGGGTATATATAAAATTAGAAATAAGTATTTTCAGTACACTTGCTACTTAATATTTCTAGAAATGTTTTCTCAAGTGCAGTTATTAAATCTTTCATTTAAATATAAATAATTAAAATGTTTAATAACTTAATTATCTATTTTTTAATGATGAAAAATCATGAAAATCACTTTAGATTATAACATATTAACAAACAAATAAATAAATAAATAAGAATAGATAAGTTGCTTACAAACAAACAAATAAATAAAGCACCATAAAATTATAAAAGTAATCCAATATGATTTGTGCACTATCAAGTCTTCTAAGATCACATAAAAGCACACATTTCAATATGTGCATGTTTTCATTGTATGAAAAAGAGCAACATGAACATTGTTCAAAATTTCTCCTTTTGTGTTTCAGAACAGAGAAAATGAAGCGGCTTTGGAACATCATGATGGCTCATGAACGACCACAGACTTTTAATTTTTAGGTAAACTATCCCTTTAAGAAACATGCATATACTTAATATGTTGTAGCACAGAGTTTCTGCTTATTTTCAGTGGATAACTGGTGTATAAACAAACTGAAGTTGAGGGGATGGTGTTGAGTGTTGGGATGCAGGACACCAGGAAGCCCTGGGTGGAGGAACAGTAAAGGACCTCAGGTTGAGGTCTGAGAGGCGTTCAATAGACATGAGGAAACCAGTTTGACTCTAATTCAAAGCTGTCAAATGTGTGTGTGTGTTTGAACACACTCCTCAGTTTTAACTAGCGTTACATCATGCCCTTTGGTAACTGTAAGTCAGTCAAACAGGGCGGGCTGGCGTTTACTGCAGCCTTCCTGCTGTCTGAGCCAACGCTCTCCCGAGACGGATGGAGGGAACGAACGAGACGGAGTGGTAGATGGAGAAACAAGGCTGGATGACTCACACGTGTGGATAGCTCTGACACGGAGCATGTTTTATTGGCCATGTGAAACTCCCTGGTTGCAGACGGCCTTATTTTGGGAAAGTTTTTGTAATATTTTTGACAAAGACACAAGCATAAACTTTCACCCTGGTTTTCGCTCATCAAACTGCCGGCTCTGGAAGTCATCAAGGGACTGAACAAATAATGAGCCGAAAGGAGCAAACGACCCTAAACTCTAACAGGACAGGCTAAAATCAAACCTAAAACACTTGAAGTCAACATGAAATGGTGTTCGTGACACATTATGCTTCTGTAATGTGATGTATTTCCAAATAATGTCATTGGGAATCAGTAGGATTATGAAAAATGGTTGCAAAATGAGTAAATATAATATAATGTAATATAACATAATATAAAAAATATTTAAAAATAAAAAAAATAAAAGTTATTATATTTTTTGATGTAGTAAAGTGATGTGTTTTCTAATAAAACACTTGGTTTTATCCATTGGGAATCAACTGGATCATGAAAAATGAGTAAATATTGTAAGAAAATAATAAAACCTAAAGTTTTAATAGTAAGATTTAGTAAAGATTTTGTTTTGTTTGTTTTTTCGTTTTGATTTGGTAATGTGACATATTTAAATAAAACACTTGATTTTATCCTTCAGGAGGCAATTTAATTGTGAAAAATGGTTGGAAAATGAGTAAATATTTTAAAGGTCCCATATTGTCAAAACTGAAATTTCCTGGCTTTTTTCACGATAACTGAGGTCTAGGGGCTATTTAACTACCATATAAGTTTCAAAACAGTCAGTCCACAGTAAACTGCACACAGCCTGCATAAAGTAGCTGTGATTTTTCACGAACCGTTGTGACTTCCGTAAAAAGTTGATGTCAGAACTATACAGTCACCGCCTTCAGTCACCACCCCGAGCACCGCCCACCGTCCCACTCTCCTTTTGCCAAACCCCCAGATAACATCGCGTCCATGCTACTGCTGAGCAACAACAACACGGAAACATGTCGAAAAGGTTAACTTTAACCACGAAAAAATTAGAAAAGTAAAAGTTTATTACATTTTGATGAATAGACATTTCTGAATAAAACTTTTAGATTTTATTCACCGGGAATCAATGTTGTGAAAAATGTTTGCAAAATGAATAAATGTTTTAAGAAAATACGAAAATAAAAATGTTATTACATTTTAATGTAGTAATGTAACATTTGTACATAAAACACTTGATTATCCATCAGAAATCAACTGAATTGTGAAAAATGGTTGGAAAATTAGTAAATATTTTAAGAAAATAAGTACATTTTTTTCACTTTGGAATAACAATCAGTGGATAAGCTGGAACATGTATTAAGATTTTGATTTCATGTTGACTTTCTGCTTCATAATTTGGTGTGCACGACTTTCATTTTTGTCTTTTCAGATGCTTTTGGTTGGAATATCAGCCAGAGGGAGTGTAAAGAGACACAAACAGCAAGATTCGGCCAAACCTGTGGTGACAAAGGAGGAAGTGCTCAGAAAATGCTGCCAATACAGGCTACAGATATTTATCAGGAAGTATTATGTGCTTTCTCACACACACACATGCTCATTGAATACTCTTCTACATATGTGACACAGATCTCATTATACATACTCATGTAGCAATTTACAGTCACATCTCATACTTAGCTCTTGGGCAGAACATGAAAGCTCGCCGTACGCCACATACCCAGTTACTTTTTTCCAAACCCCCAAAGAAGTGAAATAAAACCATTTCCTGCTCCAGCATCCTCTGAGCAGAGCATCTGCATTAAACGACCGTAAAACTGTCTATATCAGGACTTCCTCCAATTCTCCTTTGAAGGGCGTCTTCCTGGGAATGCCAATCCTGAACTGAAAGGTAGGAATTCCTGCTGCGGGGAGCAAACACGGGAACACGGGGACCACACGGACACAAGGCACAAATGGGAGGCTTCCTCTTCTCTTTTCATGCTGGCACAAACCTCTAGCCCATATGGACATCTAAAGACAGACATGCTTTGTGTGACACCATGATCAACGGACTCACTGATACCCAGATTTACTGCCCTAATCAAAGGGAATAAACAGAGCGAGCTGATTTCAAAAGCTCTTGGCAGTTTGGAGAGGTTTCTGCACGGAACGTGGCTGTAAAATTCATTGTTAGATTATCACAAGAGGGGAAAAATGGAGAAAAAAAAACTGTACATGCAAAGTCTCTTTTTTTATCTTTCAATATGAGCAATGACATAAACTGTGCAGAAGCCAAGTCTGAACACTTAGCCAGGATTTTCTAAGACACAAATAAATAAAAGACAGTGTGCGCTAAACAAAAAGACACACTCGAACATAGCGCTGCATTGGCTCTGTTCTTCTGCCGTTGTCTGGCATGCATCAGCTTCATGGTCATTGGGTTTAAAGATGTTTTAACACACTGCATGAAATTTGGGATGAAATAAGTGAAGTTTATTTCATAGTTTTTACAGTTAGATGGCATCAGTAGGTCCTCGGGGATTCTGTCTCTCAACATCCGCTTGTCAATCAATCATGTTTGTTTATTAAATATTTTAACAATAAGAGTAGTACTCTTAAGTTCTGTTTAACCATGTTTTTTTTCCCCAAATAGTGCAGGAAATGTGAAAAAAGTCTACAGATACCATCTAAGCCTAAGCATCAGTAAGAAAATAAACTGTTTTACCACTTTAAATGTTTATTTGCCTCAGAAAAACTCTCAATTTCTGAGTTTACTTTGTAGAAAATAACTGAAAAAATTTGTTGTGAAGTAAGTACAGCGGAAAAGATTTATTATTTTCTCCAATAAATTATCTGATTCTGAACTTTAAAATCTACTCAGATACTTATTTGCTTCTTTGATTTATCTATAACGGTGTCTCATATTCGTTTCAAAGTAGAAAACTTTGCAATAGATTTTAAAAAGTATAACATTTAATAAAACTACCTACATTTACAAGGCACTGTTCCCATAATGCATTGGGGAATGAATAATTAAGGTCATGTTTTTGCACTATTTGCCAGTTTTATTTGCACTTTTGTTAATTTTGCTGTTATATTCTTGTTTTGCGTTTTGAGTTAATTTTCTACTGCTCAAAAATTACCCACCATAATTGTGTTTTGTGTACCAAAAATTGAGCTAGTTGTAGTTAGTTTCCAAAAAATGATCAGTGTTCATGTATATTCATTATTAATTTAAATGTTATTTAGTTTTACTATTTTAAATACAACTACAATTGCAAGTTGCAGATATATATGAATTTTAGATATACGTATTTAATATTATTTTACAAAGTAGATTTTACTTAATTTTATACGGTCAAAATGTACTACTAAAAATTTCGCTTTTCGAGTCATTTTTCAGTGTACAGCTGAACTTTTTTTTCTCGGATTGCCACAGGTGAGAAACTCTATTGGAGCTTGTTTTCAAAAAATGCCAATGGAAAACACCAAGAAAACCTGCGCACCATCACAGTTAGATGGCATCAGTAGGTCCTCGGGGATTCTGTCTCTCAACATCCGCTTGTCAATCAATCATGTTTGTTTATTAAATATTTTAACAATAAGAGTAGTACTCTTAAGTTCTGTTTAACCATGTTTTTTTCCCCAAATAGTGCAGGAAATGTGAAAAAAGTCTACAGATACCATCTAAGCCTAAGCATCAGTAAGAAAATAAACTGTTTTACCACTTTAAATGTTTATTTGCCTCAGAAAAACTCTCAATTTCTGAGTTTACTTTGTAGAAAATAACTGAAAAAATTTGTTGTGAAGTAAGTACAGCGGAAAAGATTTATTATTTTCTCCAATAAATTATCTGATTCTGAACTTTAAAATCTACTCAGATACTTATTTGCTTCTTTGATTTATCTATAACGGTGTCATATAAAAGGGGAAAGAGGAGAATCTTTCAGGTGAGAAGATGCACTCCAGACTCTCTCCAGCGTAAAGTGACACGATCACACCCTTCAAGACTCATGCAACAGACACGCAGGGACAGTTTGGACCCAAAACCCCAAGCCCAGTGTTTTGAATGGCCCCTAGACAGCTTTTAAACACCAAACTTGCTGTCGCGCTCACAAACCTCTCCACTGTAGCGCCAGCGGAAACTCGTAATGAGATTAGTTGGTGTGCGCAGACATTACTTCGCCATGACTAAATGTGCGCTCTTCCTGCGCACACAGACTGCAGTGGAAAATTCAGGGAGCTCCTGCTGAAGAGAGGGAGAAAAGAGAGCCGTGAAGGACTTCTCTCCACGACCACATTTCTCCAGAGAGAGCTGCAGCTCTTGAAATTACGCAGACAGATCCGAGAACGTCTGTGTCCATATAGTGGCTTCAGAAAGAGTGGGGACACTTTAAAATATCATAGCTTTTAGTAGCAAAATATCAAAAAGGAAAACATTCCTTATACTTTAAACTAGATTTTGGAATGCTTGCATTAAACTTTTTTTTTTTTTTTTTATCAGGTTGGCTGTTGATGGCTGAAATGATGGTTCGTCTTTTAAGCAATTTCATGGAAAGTACAGAAATATTATGGCACAAAAATATAGATATAATAGACAAAAAGGGCTTGGAAAGCATTCCTTGATTACATGAAACTAGATTTCACTGCATTTTACTCTTTTGATTAAACTGTTTGAATCTAACTGGCTGTTTAATCAAAATGATGGTTCCTCTTTTAACCCATTTCAGGGCAAATACAGTACTATTAAGGCTACAAAATACTGAAATGGCAAATAATAATCCTACTACTCACATTTGATTGTTTATTTGTTTTACCACTGAGCTTTTTAAATGTCTTGTGTTTGAAATAATGTCTATGTAAGATGCCAAAACCGGCATAATTGCAAATGTATCCAACACATCTAACCATACAGGAAGTAGATAGAAGGAACGTGACTGTAGACTTTACATGCAGTGTGTCCAAAACTTCAAAACAGAAGGAAATGGCATCCAAAGTGGCATTAGATTTAAAGAAAGATGGCACAAGCATGCTTTAAAAGCAAAACATTCATTCTAAATG